TGCCGGACACGGAAAAAAAAAAAAATTTTTTTTGATAATACTATCACTTGAATGTGTCCCTAAAATTTTATGTGTTGGAAACTTAACCTCCAAATTCATGTGTTGATTGGAGGTGGTGACTTTAGGAGGTAATTAGGTTTAAATAAGGTCATCAGGGTGGGGTCCCCATGATGGGACTGGTGGCTTTTTAAGAAGAGGAACAGAGACCTGAGCTGACATGCACGCTCTTGCTCTTGCCATGTGATGCCTTCTGCCATGTTACAGTGGCAAGTAGGCCCTCACCAGATGTTGGTGCCATGCTCTTAGATTTCCCAGCCTCCAGAACCATGAGCTAAATAAACCTCTCTTCTTTATAAACTACCCGATCTGCGGTATTCAGTTATAGCAACAGAAAACAGACTAAGGCAGATATTTTGACCATCGTAGAATTGTTTGTGTTCATTTATATTGTTTAAATATTGTATCAAGATACTATTTACTAAATATTTTTATTAGATGTATAAAATATCTAATAAATAATATTTACTTATCTTGGTTACTTAGTTTGTTACTGTTTTTTTTTTTTTTTTTAAAGATGGCGGGGAAGGGGATCTCAACCCTTGGCTTGGTGTTGTCAGCGCCACACTCTCCCAAGTGAGCCACCCGGCCATCCCTATATAAGATCCGAACCCGTGGCCTCGGTGTTATCAGCACTGCACTCTCCCGAGAGAGCCACGGGCCGGCCCTTTTTTTTTTTTTTTAAAGATGGCGGGGAAGGGGATCTCAACCCTTGGCTTGGTGTTGTCAGCGCCACACTCTCCCAAGTGAGCCACCCGGCCATCCCTATATAAGATCCGAACCCGTGGCCTCGGTGTTATCAGCACTGCACTCTCCCGAGAGAGCCACGGGCCGGCCCTTTTTTTTTTTTTTTAAAGATGGCGGGGAAGGGGATCTCAACCCTTGGCTTGGTGTTGTCAGCGCCACACTCTCCCAAGTGAGCCACCCGGCCATCCCTATATAAGATCCGAACCCGTGGCCTCGGTGTTATCAGCACTGCACTCTCCCGAGAGAGCCACGGGCCGGCCCTTTTTTTTTTTTTTTAAAGATGGCGGGGAAGGGGATCTCAACCCTTGGCTTGGTGTTGTCAGCGCCACACTCTCCCAAGTGAGCCACCCGGCCATCCCTATATAAGATCCGAACCCGTGGCCTCGGTGTTATCAGCACTGCACTCTCCCGAGAGAGCCACGGGCCGGCCCTTTTTTTTTTTTTTTAAAGATGGCGGGGAAGGGGATCTCAACCCTTGACTTGGTGTTGTCAGCACCACACTCTCCCAAGTGAGCAAACCAGCCATCCCTATATGAGATCCAAACCCGTGGCCTTGGTGTTATCAGCACCACATGAGATCCGAACCCGTGGCCTTGGTGTTATCAGCACCACATGAGATCCAAACCCGTGGCCTTGGTGTTATCAGCACCACATGAGATCCAAACCCGTGGCCTTGGTGTTATCAGCACCACACTCTCCCGAGTGCGCCACCACCGGCCCGTTACTGTGGTCATGAGATCCAAACCCGTGGCCTTGGTGTTATCAGCACCACACTCTCCCGAGTGCGCCACCGGGCCGGCCCGTTACTGTGTTTTTTTTTTTAAGTCCCTTTAAAGTGTGTGCCTGAGGTGAATATCTCACTTGCCCCACCCTAATCCCTTCCTTGGACCACTCAGTAAGAACAGAACCCTCTGAAGACAAGGAGGCAATTTAGCATGGTGTTTAAGTGTAGGCCTGGAGTCCCACTGTCTGGGTTCAAAGCCCAGCTCTACCACTATGTGACCCTTGGGCAAGTCATTTAATCTCTCTGTGTCCTGGTGATAGGGGAGGAGGTAACGGTTCCTCCCTCATAAGGCTACTGGGAAGATTTTGTGAAATGCAACCATAAACACTCTGCACAGGCTTAGTAAAATCCTCAGTAAATGTTTGCTATTGTCACGATAAGATAATCAGGCTCTTCCAGTACTCTCTCCACAACATGACTGCCCTTTAAGCAGAAATCATCCCAACTGGAGTTTCAAAGACACTAGAATGACCCAAACTCCACCCACTTAGGTCTCCCAACTTACTGGCGAATCCTGTTGTCCTCGGAGGAGGAAAAGGGCCTGGCAGCAGGCACTAGCAGGCAAACAGACAAAAAACATCTTCCTGGAGGCCCAGGGGTTGCAGTCAATGTCCTCACTCTTTCCATGAAATAAAGCTGCTAAACGCCCCAGGCATGTGAAGCATTGAAATGAATATCTCAGGCTGCTCCCTGCCAGAGGCCGGCACCACATAACTGAGCGAAAGACCTTGAGCCATTAAGCACCATGAGCTAGACACACTCAGCTGTATTTTTAGCCTCTTGTGCACTGTTTCCATCACCTGTGCTGGGCTTTATGCTGGTAAAGGTGGGGGTGGGGAAGGCTGGAGAGATGTTTCTTACAGCAGCCAGTGGGGGCCGGAGTTTGCATGCTGTTTCTGAGTTCTGTTGTACATAGGGCCAACTGCGTGTAGTGACACAGGTCCCCATGCTTGGAAGGGCCCCACTCTTGCTTTAATACTCTGTTGTTACCATTTTGAAATTCTTAATAAATTTGAACAAAGGACCCCACATTTTCATTTCTCACTGGGCCATGCATATTAAGTAGCAGTCCTGGTCGAACAGAGGCAGAGAGAGCCAGTTGAGGGAAGGAGGCTGATGCCAGCCAGCAGGAGTGCTTTCCTACAGGGGGCAGGACAGACTGAAGGTACTATGACATGGATGCCCAGAATTGGCCAAACACACCTTGTTTCAAGCCTCCTGTGTGCCTTTCCTATTTTCTCCTCTGAAACCAGAATGACACACAGAAAAAAACCTTGTACACTGTAGAGAACTGTGTCCTGCTTTGCTAAAGTCTTTTCCCAGCATCTTATTTAAAAGTCTACGAACCTTGTCCCTCAATCCTAAAGAATATAAAAATTAAAAAAACAAAACAAAAAAACAATCCACAGGTTCAGTCTGTCAACATCATTGTCTCTGTAGTACTTTTTGGTCTCTGAAATACACTTCTTTTATCCTGTTGGTTGATTACAAGGTAAGTTCGAGGAGGAAGATTCGGGCCTGTGTTTTTGGTGGCAGTGTCCTCAGCACTGAATATTTGTTGAATGAAGGAAGGTTCACCTCTATCGAGTGTTTGCTTTGCACTGAGGGTTTCACCCGTATCTCCCGGTTTCATTCTCTTCGAAGGTGCTCCTGCCTTCAAGAGTGCAAGTCAGGGGTAAAGAATTCTCAAGTCCTGCTGGAGGAGGTGGGCAAGGGCCCAAAACTGTGAAGAACGGGAGAGACACCGAGTGGGATGTGGAGGGTGCGTGTCCCCAGGGACTGGGCGTGGCTGGGTGGGAGGTGTCCCCCCATGCTCCAATAAGGAGCCCAGAGGATTCTTGAACTCGGGAATGACACAGTGAAAACAATAACCGAACAAGATTCTTCTTGCCATAGTGCTGGGTCGTCCTGAGGGCGGAGAGGGACAAAGATTGACAGGCCTCATGGGAGGTGGCTGCGCCCTTGGGGCCAGGCCTGGGAGCAGTCGTCCGGGCGGGGGGAAGACCGCCCAGCCCCGCTCTGGGCGCGGCGAGTCGGCACAAGAGAGCGGACGTTCCGCCGCCGCGCCGGGCGCAGGCCCGCACTTGCCAGCCCGGGACCAGGGACTTGAAAGCCCGCGGCGCGCCGCCCGGACCTGCCCCACCGGGCGTCACCGCGGTGCTTGAGGCGGGAGCCGCTGGAAAATCCCCTCTGCCCGGGGGGTGTGCGGGGGATGAGGGAGGCCGAGCCGGGTGCGGCTGGGGAAGACCTTGGGGGCCAAAGGGCCTACCACGCGGGGGCCGAGAGTCGAAGCACGCCAGCGCTCTCTGAGCCCGTCTCCCGGTCTGTGAATTAAGCAGCACCGTCCTACCCACTCTGGACTTCGTGGTGGGCGCTTTACCCGCTTCTAGTCCTGCGGAGAACTTTAATTATTCCTATTTCGCAGATGGCCGAGGCTCAGACAGATCGGGAACTTCCCTAGTTGACACAGTATGCCGCCTCCTTTGTGGCGGCAAGACTTGGACGGAGAAAGAACCCAACATTTTCCGAGATCCTATTGTGCATGCGTGAAGGTTTCCACGCACTATCGTATTTAGTACAACCGCTCTGGGGAGTAGTTGCTATCATCGTCCCCATTCAACAGATGAGGAAATTGAGGTAAGAGCGATTTTCCTTTAAACCTACCCAAGGCCTTACGCGTGACAGAGTGGGAAATGAACCCGGACAGGCTGATTCCAAAGCACCCTTTTTTTTTTAACCACTAAGATGAGCCAAGCAGGGAAAAGCGGCTTGCAAACTGCTGCTCTGATTATTACCGCAGTGGCTGAGCCCGCGCCTGGGTCACGACCCCAGTGAGGGTGGAGCGGTGGTCACCGGGCGCCAGGCCCCCTTCAGCCGGGTCAAACTTCGTTGGGACTCGGAGGCGAAGCTCTGGACTCCGCCCCTCACCTGCTGGCCCCGCCCTCCGATCGGGCAAATAGGGCGTCCTCCGGGGCGAGCCCAGGTGTTGGGGTGGGCGGGGGCTGGTGCTTGAGTGGCAGGCGCGGCGGGGGGCGGGGCGGGCGCAGTCGGCTCCGCCCCTCGGGCCTCGCGGCGGAGACGGGCGGACCCCGGGCGGCC